GACAGAAAGGATAGGAATAAACATGGCTGCGGGTCTGACTTTATCGGGTTCCGACAAAAACCTTCGGATCCCCGTCGCAAGAAAACTGATTGTTTCGATGCACCGAACACAAGAGAGAGGGGCACGTCATCATGGACTGATGGTTGATCTACATGGGGGAATGGCACAGTTCTACATCTATGATTCTAGAAAAACCTTGCCTTCGCGTCAAGAGGGTCTTGTATAATTCTGTCATCCTTCGCATATACCCCGAAGTCCCCCCTTTCAGAAACTGTCACAGCATGGCTTCATTGTTGTCTTCTGGCCTGAGATAGAAAAGCCGACATGTTAGACACTCTGGGTCCTTGTTGGATATTCTTTGATGTTTTGATCATACTAAGACCGAATGAGGAATGTAAAAGTGCATAGTTGAACACTCGTAACAAGCCCGATCAGGATCCCTCCCTGCAGTAAAATGTCTAGCATCCCCGCAGGATGCCCTGACGGTATGCGACGGAACCCCTTGACCCCTCAACCAGATAAAGCCGTAAGAGTTTTTCCAAGATTTCAGCAGATCCGGATTCCCGCCGTTAGGTGCCCAAAAGCCACAATCATGACCCCCTACCTTTTGAGGATGTTCAGCAGATTTACTCCTCCTGGCATGCCTTTGCCGCCGTGCTCGGCAATGGCTCAGTGGTGGCCTGGGGCGACGGAAACCATGGCGGGGACAGCGGCTCTGAATAATTGTGCTCGGGTATCAGAGCTCTGGGTTGAGAGTTTGGGGTATGGGGTTAAGAGTTTCAGACATAAGGTTTGGTGTTCAGGGTTTTGATTTCAGTGTTTATGCTGAAGGATTCAGGGTGTGTGCTTTGGTAAACACTGCATTGCTTCGAGTCTAGGGTTCAAAGAGCTAGTGTTGCTTCAATCTTCCTGTTGGGCCTTGTCCAAGTCAGCTTAAGGATGTTGGCATCCTAGAGCATCTCCTAGATGGCTGATGAAAAGTGCAACATAGCTGCCGTCTGATATTCAGTGCCGTGAACACTCTAGCAAGCAGAAGAGGAGGCTGTCTTAGAGACAGAGGACGTTCCGTTAGGGACAGCGGTCTTTGTCGGAACAACTTCTGGATGCGGGCTGCTAGACATTGTTGGGCTTGTCCAGCAAGGGGGCCTGAAGCCATCCAAACTACCACATTTAAGCATGCTCGTCAGGCTTCCTGCTTCAAATTAGTCGCTTCGGATGCAGTCTTCTGATCAGACCTGAAGTCATAAGACAGGTGCGCCATCTCTAACAGTGCCTCAAGCGCGGGTAGGAAGGAGCTAGGTCACGAAAGAGATGCGTGCCATCGCGCAGAATCATTCAAGAATACGTGGGGTACCAGCTACAGCTTGTGAGGCGGCGGGCTGCGAGTTTAGGGTTGAGACTCTGGGTTTTAGCGCGGGCGTGCAGCTTTGTAGGACGACCCGCAGCGAAGTTCTGATGTGTGGCTTCTAGATGTTGCTGAGCAAGGGCGGAGCCCACTGCACTTCCACCGTGGTGTTGTACAAGCGATTTGTGTTGTTCTTGGTATATACTAGTGTTTCTGCATCCTCCTCCTCAGCATCATCAGCTCTATTATCCTTATCGCCATCATAGCAACCCATGGTTGCTATGTGTTGTGAGCTTGTGCTAGAATGCTTCGCGAGGAAATTTCAGGGTCATTGGTGGAAAGGGCTTAATTGGTGAGGTGCATTCGCCGGTGCGCTTCAAGACGTGCGCAGCATTCAGGCCCGGACATCATACGAGTCGATGTTTGCCCTTTAGCTGTAGGGTCGACAGTGGGGCAAGGGTCCCCGTCGAAAACCTGTGTGACTGTGCGTGCATAAATATTACTTCCAAACGTTGACTAATGGGGATCCTGCATAGTTGGCCCAATGAGCTTAGCTACCTCATGCAGCTAGGCCCTAGATCTTCGAGTCTGAAGTCCTTGCCACAACCCTTCCTCTGAAGTCACATCCTCGGCCAAACAGCCTCTACATCCTCTGCCCATTTTTCGAAAGCCCAGACGCGTGACGCTTGGTTGTCTTTGTCTAAATAGAACAAACCTTGCTTCACAATACCAATGTGAACTCACTGCTAAAGTCATTGGAGCCTCTTAAGAGAGTTTTCGAAACAAAGAAGTCTGGGACTGAAAGAACAATTCTGGCAAAACCCACCCTATCAACTTACCTGACATAACCACCATTCCTTTAATATGTTCGCCAATATATTCTGGGCCATGAGCTATCATGGGGACTATTTATTCCTGGAGGGTGGAGGGCTTAATTTCTGGAGACAAGGAATCTTCTGCAGACCAGAAAGATTATAAGCTTTTATGCAGTAGCCCTGAACACGCCCCTAAATCCGTTTTCAACGGGCTTGCACGAGGAATCCTATCCGGAAATACCTGTTCCAAGCCTTTGGAGGCAAGTCATGGAGCCTTTGCAGCGCTAACAGGCGCTGGGCGCGTGGTGGCCTGGGGCAACCCACTGCGGCCTGGAAGTCAACCTTTCAGGAGCTCTTAGGATTTCAGGGGTTACTGCAAGGCTGGGGCTTTTTCAGATGTAGAAGTTGAGGCTCTTAGGCAGGCCATAGGGGTTCATCCCCTTCCTTCATGTTCAAACCCTAAGTACTTCATAAAGGGAAACTACACAACAAACAGCTTTACTCGGGCAATATTTAACTTGCAGAGGATCTTGGGTAAAGCAAACCAGACCTGGCCAGTCAGGTATGGAGGCGACTGTATCGACGTGAATCTTACCCAGGTGAAGCAGGCAAGGCTTGCTTGCGGCTCAGGGTTTAGAGTAGAAGAAGTTTCACCTTTTTAGGGTTGATAGCGTCGTTGTTTTGGCTCAGGGTTTAGGTCTGGGTCACATCCAATCCTCTTCGTCATAGTTATGTGTGTTAGAATTAGATATGCGGCACATTTTGGGGGTTCCGAACATCCTACACATCCCTGGTAGCATTGCCAAATTAACAAGTCTCAAGTCCCGAAACCGTGTCATCCCTTCACTCTTGGCCTCAAACACTGCGCTGTAGTCCAGGGGCTTAGAATCTACACTCAATAACTCATGCGGCAGGCTGTTTGTTTGACTTTGCCAAGCAGCTGAGTTCCTCATTTCAGGGGTTAAGTAGGATAGCAGACATGACTAAGAAGCCAGCATCATAGTGCATGCCCTTCCTGTTCCAAGTGTTGCCTCTGACAGGAAGGAAGCAGTTTTCGGGCCAGGCGGGACTTTGATGATATGCAGGGGAACCCTGAAGTACCGTCACAGGCTCTTAACCTTTCATCCATCAAGAACAGCCCTACGTTACCCTACCCTCCACAAAATTTGCTGCAGGTTGCGGCCTCCGGCAGGGCATTCGCTGCCATTCTGACTGATGGATCCGTCGTCGCCTGGGGCGATCCGGTCTTCGGCGGCCGAGTTCAACAAGCCAGAAGGGTTGGTGTCCCTTCCAAAGGAGATGAAACCGCAAGAGGGTCCTAAAGCTACTGTCCTCTAAATACACGTGGTTCCATGTTACCCCTGGGGCGGAGCGATTTTTGGGGTTGGAGACTCGTATCTCGTATGATGTGGTCCTAGGTTGCGGTGGGATTGAGAAGGTCTCTCAGACGGTTCGTGCTAAGGGTTGCATATCTCCGATTGCAAGTGGATCCGAAAGGACGGACTCTTTGGATTTTTCGACTTTGTTGTGGCGACTTCTGCTTTACAGTCTGGAAGTTTCCGTTCTCTTTTCCATTCCTCTATATACCCTCCACAACCCCGGTATGCCGAATACATGACCTTACACATCCTTATCCTCATGTAACCCCACATAACCCCATATACCACCCCTTTTTGAGATCAAATGATCAAAGTGAGGCCCACGCATTGAAAGGAAATAGTAACTACTGTAGAACTGGGGATTATGTTGAGGCTACTATATTTCGTTCCTGCATGCCCCACGAAAAACCAGGGAGTTAATCTCCCCAAAGTGTTCGTGTTTTGGAGGTTCTCCTAGTCTATAGTAGTCACCTGGATCCTTCTTCTTCTTCTGGCATATCCATGCGGGGCTCGTTTGAAGGGACATTGGTTATAGGCACAGATCCACAAACAGGAGGTGAATGGACCTGGGCAAGGATTCTGTGAAGTCAAATTGGGTTAAATTGCTGCATGAAGGTTGGGGGCAAAAAGATTCTGCCTTTTCCCAAAGCCCCTTCCTAATCTGTATTTGAGCCCATTGTTGTGCAGCTATGCGCAGCTAAAGGTTTGACTTTTCTTCTCGTAACGCTTTAATTTTCGTCCTACCCTTCCATACAAGCAAATCGACCTCACCTATTCATCGACAGATTTTCCGCTGCTCCCCCCCCAGCAGAGCTGCGATGCTGGGCAGCCAAGGCGGTGACAGTCATTCAGTTCAGGAGCTGCTAAGTTTCACGACCTTGCAAGATTCGTAGGTTGAAAGTTTCCGCGCGCGTCTGCCTCTCACTCATGGGTGCTGATTTGTAGATTTATTGCACTGCAAGCGCGATACCATATATGCCCGAAACGTTTATGCAAGCCCGACCCCACTGCCCAACCGGTATCTTACCAGAGGGGCCCAAGTACACCAGGTTTCGTTTCCGTTTAGGTACCACCAATCCAGGCGACTCTAGTGACCCTTGAGAGGAACAACTGCAGCACGTCTCAGAGATCCAAGCAAGCTGGCGGGCGTTCGCAGCGCTCAGGGAGGACTCGCTGGGTGGTTATGGGTTTCCAGAAATGACAGGGGGATCTCTAGGTGTCAGAAAGCGGGCTTTCCACCAGCGGTGCCCTAGCAGCTGGTCGTTGCTAGCCGCACCCAAGCGGCCAAGCCTTTAAACATGTGATGGATGGCAAGCCCAGATAGTACGTTCACAGTCGCTTGTTCTCGTAGTGGTGTGCTCGTGTCTGTAAACTTGTGGTTCATCGCAAAGCTACATTGCCGGCAAACCGCTGGGCTTCAAAGGTCAACGCCTCCCACCCTTATGCCTGCTGAAACGCAAGGACGGCACGGTGGTTTCCTGGGGCAACGCGGAGTTTGGAGGGGACAGCTCTTCAGTTCAGCATCAGCTGAGGAATGCTCCTCTGCCAGCATCCTTTCAGGGCTGGAGCTAGCCGAAATCGATAGTACAGTGAGAACTACAAGACGAAAACGAAGAATCATAAAGGTAAATACTATATGTGTACGGCATGGTAGGACACATGCACGGTAGTTCATAGCCTGATGATAGGCAACAACGAATGAGACTTTTCATTTGGAATTCAAGGGCGCGCGATGGGAGCCGGTTTTGGAGGCTCATGAATACTTCTCATTCATGTTGCATGTAGTGCTTATAATCTGAACGAAAGAACAACCAAAACTACTAGCTACCCATTCGCCAATGTTCAGGTTGTTTGTTTGGATGCTTCCGGGAGCGCATTTGCGGCGACGCTACAAGACAGGTCTGCGCCTGGGCCATCATTTAAACACACCTCTATACGAAGAGGTACTTCTTTAGTCCTAGGGTATGTTAGTGTCTAGGGCAACAGTGTTTGGGGTTGGGGGGTCAGGATATAGTTTTCAAAGCTTTGCCATGCCTTTTTGGGCATGCAAGTTTGTTGCGGTGAGCAATGATTGTTCACACGGTCAAGCGAATCCCCTTTTTGATCTGAAGCTATGTGGCTGTGGAGCCTGCAATTTTGAGTTTTGGGCTGATTTGGGATATTCCCCTAATAATGCAGTGGCTTTATAGGGATAGTGGAGAAAAGATTATGGAGACTACCATATTTATATAGGGCTTAGGGGTATTCATCCTTGAGCTCAGATGCAAGGCCTTCCTTTAAACGAGGAATCCCCAAGCCAAAGGTCATCACCTGGGGAGATGCTGAATTTGGCGGAGACAGCCATGCCGTGAAACACGAGCTGCTGGATGTGAGGCAGCAGCTAGGCTCTTGGGCAGATTTTGCAGCTTATAAGTATAAGCCATAGATCACAGTGATGAAAGTTGTTGAGGATTCAACCCTTCGGAGCCTCTGACCGTGGGTTTCTGGGCTTCACAGCATCTGGATGCTGGTTGCCCGAGCCGAGAGCATTCAACGAACAAAACATTTGGAGAATCCGTCAAGAAGGGTGGCTGGACAGGTGGCCAATGACTCCAAGGTGTCATGTCCGTTTACGGTACTACAGATGAATATGCGACTAATGCCGTTGGGGCACATTTACAGGCATATAGGTGTTAAAAGGATCAGGCTGCGGTACTGATCAGCAGGGATAGACTGTACATTTTTGTGAACAGATTGCCGTGAAGGAAGGTTTTGCTGCGAACAAAACAAGGGTAAACACAGAAGACCTGTTTGGGTTATGGATGTGGATAACGCATCCGTTTGGCAGTTTGGGGATTGAGAGTCATTACGATAGTGGCAGCCGTTTGGCTTTCCCTCACCTTGGGATGACGTATGTTTCGTCGCGCAAAACTGGGATTCGACGAAGCACTGAATGCACACAGATCTTTACATGGTAGGTCCCTAACGTCGTAAACGTCTTCAGCACCCTATAGCTAATACTGATATCCTTTGGGCAGCCTCGTGCAATGCGGGCATACGGCTTAGGATTTAGGTCTACGCCGCCTCCCAACAGTTCTCCACGTAATCGATCTATAGTCCCGATTCCCAGGATATGCCCCTCGCGGCACGCCTTTGCCGCAATTCTGCTGGATGGGTCTGTTGTGACCTGGAGGAGCCACAGCATGCCACCACCTGGGATTTCTGACAATTGGGGGCCCCTGCAGAACCCATGAATGTATCGGGATGGTAGAGCGATAGGGTCCTTCTTAAGTAGTACAACCGGCTTTACAGCCCGTTGTCGCGGTTTCTGCCCAGGTATCTTGTAAACCAAGCCTTCGAACATCGCAGGAGCCCTGACTTTGGTGGCGACAGCAGCGCAGTCTGTCATCAGCTGAAAGGCGTCTTGTCCTTGACGGCGTTCTTCCACCTTTTGTGCGGTCTAAAGGCTTCGTCTGCAGGGTCTAGAGCCTGGCGCCCGCATCAGACATATTTGCCTGTGTGATCGTGTGTGAGCTGTCCTACACCAAAGTAGCCTAAAGCTGGATCCTAGCCTACACCCCTCAAATGGGAAACCCTATACAAGCATCAACCCTCAACTCCTATAGTCCAAACTCCACAACTCAGGCGTGCTACAGATCCAGCCAAGCCTCTTTGCCTTTGCGGCGCTGTTGGATGATGGATCAGCTCTCTAGCCGGGAGGGGGTCATGTTGAGGGAAATCGACGCGCGGTCATGCTCTTTCTCAAAGTTGTGGATTCTGTTTCGGAATCCGTCTCTAACAAGTGCTTCCTGAATTGACGAAGGGGCTTCAGAATTTTGGCTGCAGCTACTGGCTTTAAGACTTTAAGCTTCAGGAGGTTTGGCTGAAAGCGAACTCCGTAAGATTGAAGGCGCAGCAGGCTTTGCCAGTGCAGGGACTCCTGAGTATTTCTCGACCGCCGGGTACAGTATCAGCGAGAGACTTGTGAAGTCCCAAAGTTACTCAAAGAGTCCCCTTTGAGAGAATATCGACCTTCAAGACCCTCAAAATAACATGGCCCAAATTGTGTAGGGCAAACCTCGGTCAAATCGTGTGCCCTTACCTGACAAGGTTCCATCAGCTTGAGAAACCTTAGCCAGGGTTGCCGAGATTTCCTTCATCTGTGGCTCGCCAAACTAGTCTGGCGGCAGCCATGCGCACAGAAGCTTAGGAATGAGTTCTAGCGTTTCTGTGCCACAACAAGGGGGATTTGGCAATCTTGACCCACCACAAATTAGGACATTTTCATAGTTGCAGGGCCCTAGTTTTGGGGGTGGGTTTACCTAAATCTTCTTAATATCTCCGAGGAGGCACTACTTAGACAGGCTGTAGAGTGTCGGCTGTCCTTAGCATGCAGATTGATGCTAATGCTCTACGTGCGACTCGGGCAACCGTTTACTTGGGATCACGTTTGCAGGCAAGCCTGTTTGTGCCTGCGACTGAAGCCTTGCAGGGTAGGAATGCAAACCGGCTTGCCAGAGATGGTTCATTACAAAGAGAGGTCGATTGTGTTATTCGGTGCAAACAGAGCATTTTGCTTTGAACTTCAGAGTTTGAGGGAGGATAAGCTTTCTAAATAGGCGTGTCTCAAGTAGGTTCGAGCGCAAGTCTCGGATGCAAAGCTCCGGGAGGTTCAGAAAGCTTTTCTGGAAGCATCTCTTCTGCGATGAACCAGGCGTTGGCTAAGACAAGCCGGTAGTAGCAGCAGCCCTGGCAAGGCGTTCCCTCCGAGCCTGTTGCTGGGAATTTGCAGCCAAGTTGTTGAGCGAAATCCGAGGTTGTGTCTTGGGGGCACGACGCTTACGGAGGTAACAGCCGCGAGGATCCTCCATCCGCACGAATCAGAATTTGTTTTTGAAATGATTTGTGTGGGATTTTCTGCATTTCTTATGTTAGTCATTCAGCGAGTGGTTTACACATGCTCCAGGCTCGCAGGAGGTGTTTGAAGCCGATGTTTTTGAGATAGCGGCATCCCCGATGCTTCGAATGTCAGGATGTTCCATTGGAGTCTCTCTCTGCGGGTGCACCTTAGTTCTTCTTGATGAGGACTAGAAAGGAATCCGAGCCCCCTAGTCAATGATAAGCGCGTTGGCGGGAGGCCCCCTTAAACCCCGAATCTCAGGACGTTTCAATCCCAAATTGTCGGTGTGTACCCCTGAACCCCTAGAGCCAGAACGCTGAGCCTTCAACCATGATAATCCTAAATCCTAGCCTATACACTAAACTAAACTCGACATCATAGCCCCTTGTAGTCTACATACCGCAACAGTAAAGAACCGAAACCCTATACCCCATCCCCATCCCCTAGCTTAGACCATAAGCTCAATACGCTATACCCCGAGCCCTTCACCCTTAACCCTCTAAACCCCAAACACTAAAAGCCAGCGGAGGTTCAAGCGCAGCTCACAGTGGTGCAGCAGATCCAGGCTTCGGACGGTGCCTTTGCAGCCATCCGAGAGGACGAAGGGTTTAGGGCTTGGCGTTTTATGCATACAGTTCAGGGCAAAGAGTTTAGGTGTTGGGGCGTCGGGGACCTGCTTGGAGCCTTCAAAGTAGCGCTTCATGGGATTGCGATGGCGTGTTGTTGAAGATCTGTGTTAGGATAGGTCTAGGCCGGGATTGAGCTTTTCGTGCTCAGGAATTTGGGGCTAGGTCACCTAGTATGGGCCTGAGCCTTCAGATTGGGAGCGGTTTAATCTTTGGGCGTACTGCTCCGAGGAGGGATAAAGCCAGCTGGGCAAAGCATCTCTTTGTAACCTGCTTGATTGGAGGTCGTACTCCCGGCTCTCCAGTAGCCTGATCCTGCCTTTTAGAAATCATAAACCCTAAACCCGAACACCTTCTGTGATTCCTCCTTTTTCTGTAGAGTAGAACTACTCCAGCCGCGGACCGCTTGATGAGGCGTTTTGAATAGTGCTTAGATCATGAGAATCGACTCGGCTGGTTGTAAGGAGTCTGGGGTCTTGCCCCCCACCTCCAACCTGATATGAATCCTGACATGGTCCATCCTTTCAATATGGCAGTAGTCTTTATGAGGTCCCGTTTGAGATTCCGTGTTAGCATCAGGAAAGGGTATGGAGTGCTTTATGCTAAGCAGGCTCCTGTGGTCTGAACTTCTGACTTGCAGCATAGCACAACTATCTTTGGGTGCGAGACGTCAGTACTTCCAGTACTGGATGCTTGAGGCAAAAAGCTCAGCGGCACCCAAAGCCAGACGTATGTATAGATGTAGGCATGTACCTCTACAAGTGTGCACCTGTCTATACAGGCGTGTGAATCTGTCTGTTCGCCTGTTTGCCTGTCTGCCTGTCTGTGACTCTCTCTCTCGCTCTGTCTCTCTCTCTCTCTCTCTCTCTCTCTCTCGCTCTGTCCTCTTCTACTACTGTAGAAAAAGTCACCGAGATTCTGGACATGAAAGGGAGCTTAACTGCTTGTCGTCTTTCATAGCAAATGTTCAGTAGCCCGGAATGTGCCAATGTCGGGTGACAGTATTGAGCGTATTGCAGGGCCTGACAGCAACCCTACACCGTAAACCCTGCACTGCAATACTCTTATTGGGGTTCTGCATTCTCCGTGCCTACTGTGAGCTGGTAGCCGGCCAAGGGTACTTTCAAATCAAGAGCCGCAAGGGCCTTTGCAGCCCCTTCATATCTTTTTCATTCTGGAAACTGACACTGCGGTCAGCAGCTTATTCGTTGGCATTTGTGCGGCGGTCACATGAACTTCTGTTTGCCTTCGGCAGGATGGGTCTGTGGTGACTTGGGGTCACAGCATTTTCGGTGGCGACAGCACTGGTGTTCAACACCAGCTGAAGAATGTGCAACAGATAGCGTCCTGGCAGCAATCAGTCTCCGAACGGGTTCAGTGTGCCGAGGTTTCGTGGGACAGCATGCCACGGTGTATACAAAGGCCGTGGTTTTTTCCAACAAATCACGTAAGATCAAGGAAGGAAAACTTCATTCCTTGCTTAGCCACAAACCTTTTGGGGTCACACAAAGCACAACCGGGGTTGAGTGTTGAAGGTGTAGCGCGGACAGGCACTACGCGCTAGGTTCCCTTGCTTCTAGCGAACACCCGCAGCTCTGTTAGAACCTTCTGAAGAATTCTTCACAACCCTTTGCTTCACCCCAGATAGCAAACCCCACAGTCCCGACTTGCACCGTCCAAGCATCAATAGGGTTATTTGTGTTTAGGTTCAGCCATGACACTTTCCAGCACGGAGTGCGATTTGCTCTCACATTGGACCATTAGGGCCAGCTTTAGAACTCATGAGGAGTGCTGGGCGTCGTGTAAGGACTTTGCCGCATTCAGATGGTCCGAGAATGCGCTAGCACTTTGCCTACACATTTAAAGCATCAACGAAGCACCTCCCAATCACAGATACTAACAGACGAGCCACTCCAGCCCTAGTTCCCACCACGCCTTGACCCCATGCATGTTGCTAGCACCTTCAAGGCCTGAACCCCGGGAGACCCACACTCTGAAGTCAACTCTCTTCACCAAACCTAGACCCCAGAACCTTAAGCATCCGCAGAGACTACACCCAAGCTCCAAACCTGAAACTGCCTCAGAGACTCAGGGAGCCACGGGCAGGGCCTTTGCTGCCCTTTTGGGAGACGGGTCGGCCCATGCCTCAGAATCAGGGACGAGGGTCCATGGTATTGATTTAAGGTTCAGTATTTATAGGGTTCAGGCTTCAGCGGTTACGGATTTGTATGTAAGTGGGAACTCCATGTTTCGCTGACCATGAACTCAGGTACGGACGGTTCTTCTCAAAACAGTGGGGTACTTTCGCTTGTCCTGTTGTTGGAGTAGACCGTTTTGTGCAGAAGCTAGAGTTTTGGGGTCTATCATTGTAGCAAGCAAAGATGGGTGTTGGCCGCTTCAAAGGAGTGCGCCTTTTTGGGATCCGTGTATCAAATGACTGTCATTTTGGAATAGGAAGGCACGAGACCATATTGAGGTTGCCTGTGGCGTCTTGTGTGTTTCTACAATGTTGATATGAATAGCTGCGAGTACAGCTCCTCGTTTGTTTTGCCAAGTAATGCACAGCCATCATAAACACAGTTTCCATGACTTCTGGGCTAAAGGCTGCGAGTAGGGCTACAAGTACCTAAAGTCAAATAGTAGGCACAAGTCACAAGTCCCCATGACTGTTAGTAAAGGCCATGTTACCGACCGACACACAGCGCAAAGCGCTGGACACAAGCCTGGGCCGCACTCCGCTTCGCCCAAGCCCGACTCCCTGAACCTTGATGCACAAATTTCAGTCTGAACCTCGACGCAATCATCGTGAAGTAGATTGGGGCAACACGTGGGAAACCCTCTGTACATTCTGAAGTTCCTGGATACGCTCTCCGCATCTAGCCATGTAAAGTGGATTGTGAGCAACAAGCCCCGCAGCCTTAATTCTGAGCTCAGCGAAGATGGATTTGCCTGCCTGACCTCTAAGGGGCAAGTTATATACATGTATATATATACATGCGCTGCCATAGCTAGACCCTCAACCTGAGCCATTTGGGCAGCCCGCAATTCGCCCTAAGCTGGACTGAAGCCTAGCTTGCTTCTTCAGGGGCTATACATCACGATGAAACTACGGCTCTCCAGGTTAAAGCCTTCACTGAAAGCATCCATGAGCCAGGTAGTCACATGGGGCCCGCCTGAG